CACTGTACATTAAGAATAAATTAAAATAATTTTAAAACATTAATACATTACATATATCTTGAATTACTTACATGTAACAAACATAGAAAATAGAATACAAGTTGTTATATCAAGAGTAAAACTACTTCTAATTACAAAATTATACATATAAGTTGACATTGTCATATACGAAAACAAGGCAAAGGATTATTGCAGAGAGAGAAAAAGATATTATTTAGTAAATATAAGCATTTGTATGCTTTTTATTTAACAATTCTATATCCGTTTGTAAATTTAAACTATTATTGTTTTGTTTGTGTATGTAAATCATTTCAGGCATGAGTCTTTTGTTTAAAATCATTTCCTCATCAATAAATATTTTAATATTATCCCGATAAGGCATTTATCATTTCTCTTGGATTTATTCAATCGAGTCAATTTTATTAAGTTATATTTTTTTTAAATTAAATTATATTTTGCGAGTAAATATATAAATAAAATATATGACAACTCTTGCGGTAGTCGATTATACATATGTATGTATGTCTTGAAACGAGGTAAAAATTACAAAAGTATATATATATATATAATCGAAAATATTTATAATTTTATTGGTCAACGTGTAATAAATTTGCTAATTTTTATCATTTTTGTTTTAAATTTTAAGATACGTATTTGACTACTGGTTAAAACATCTGCCTTACCGACTAAGTAAAAAAATGTATATCATTGGTACTAATCAAGCAAGGATAAAATAGTTTTCTGCAACTAATCGATAATTTAAAAAATTACGTTCTTTATTTAAAATGTTTCAAATCAAAATTCGATTAATATATTCGATATTTCGCTTGATCTTTTTTTACAAAAAAAGTTTATATGTATACAAATTATCCTTGAAAGCAAATCAAAAGCTGAAAAATGATTTCAGTACGCAATTTCTAATTTTTGAAAAACTCAATCTTATATTTAATTTTTAAAAAGTTTTGTTTCGAATTTTTCTTGTTTGTCAACTTTTTTAATCTACCGTAATTGCTTGAAGTATTTGTCGAATCGCGGCGTTTTGAATTTGAACCTAGAATTGATATGGCCGCACTGTGTATGGAAGATTGACAGTGACGAATGAGTCGGATGTCACGATTTACAGTGATAACATTGACAACGCGGTCTGCCGTTTCACGATGTCCGCAAATTACTATTTTGCTATCGTTGGCCACGCCGACAATCCACTGTTTGAGATAGAATTCAACAATGCTGGAAAAGACGCAAAAGTTTGTTTTGAGGTTATATTCCAACTTTGCATTGACTTGTCGATTCTACCATTCTATTTTTTTTTTTTAGAAGGAAGATCATTCGCATTTGAATCAATTCATTGCCCACGCGGCACTCGATCTTGTGGACGAACACACGTGGAAAACAACAAACATGCATTTGAAAGTTGTAGATAAATTTAACCAGTGGTTTGTCAGCGCGTTCGTGACAGCAACCCATATCCGATTCGTCATGGTACATGATAGCAAAAATGAAGACGGGATCAAAAACTTTTTTAACGAAATGTATGAAACCTATATAAAGGTAAGTTACTTTCACAATATTGTAGATTTAAAGCGCTTTGCAGCAAGAGACATAGATGACATTGTAACCCAGTGAATCTTTGTTTGCTAATGTTGAACAAAGATATAATGATCACTGTGTTATACTGTGTTTCTTGCTAGAAGATTTGAAATTTATTACTTCTTATATTCCAAACCATCTTAAGTATAACAATATAAACCAATTATCATTTTAAGTAATGTCTCAAGATGCTAATATACAGTTTTAGAGGCCAGTATGTCTAGTTGGTAAAACTGTACTTAAGGTGGTATTAAATATAAGATTCGACTGTAAATACTAGCCAGGAAACTATATTAAGATCTTAACATGATCTTAAAATACAAATAAATATTTCCTTGTGATATTCGATTATAGTTTATGACAATGTCTTAAATGTCTTAAGACATATCTTAAGAAATATCAGCCAGAGTATTAGTATAATTTTAATGGGCCTTCTACAATAAGCCATAAGTCATAAATTGAAAGTAAGAAATTAAAAATTGACGACTGTGATTGGTCCATTTCTAGCTTATGACTTATGATTTGTGACTTGCGGCTTATTGTAGAAGGCCCATAAGATATTACTTAAGACTAAAGACTGTTTTGTAATAGAAAAGTATACACATTTCAAAATTCAGTGTATATACATGTTAATAGCTTTATTTCAGAAATGCTGTGTTTCTGTGTTTCAGTATTCAATGAATCCATTTTATAAGCTAAACACTCCTATCAAATCTATAGGATTTGAGAAAAAGGCACAGTTGTACGGTAGAAAATATTTATCTTCATGAATGTAATTATTGCTGCTAGTAAAAGTGAGGGAATTTTAACTTATTTCTCTTCAACTTTATTCGAGATTTATATGCTACAAAATATACTATTGGTAGGCATTAGAAATAAATTGTTGTCCAGTATTAAATAATATCACTTAAAAAAAGTTGTAACTGTTTACATTTTGATTTATACAATTTATATACATATATAAGTTAATTGCACTTAAGTTGCTTATTATATAAAAGACAAAATTTAATGTATATTATTTTTTATATACATAATGTGTGAAACTCGTCCTGCATTTTCTATTCCATTTCTAGATCTTGTATCTAAAAAAGAATATGTATTTATATACATGTGTATATGTATATATATATGTATATTTGTAAGTTAGAACAATAACAATTGTTAAATAAAATAAAATATATGTGTGTGCATCATTTTTACCTCTTGTACTTTCTGCATTTCTTGAGTCAACAAATTATCCAAAATTTCTTGAAATCGTTGCCTCAGCTTGACATTTTCGATATTAGCTATTTCGATTTCTTGTTGCTGCCTTCTTTGTCGCAATTCCGCCAATTCCGCATGAAGAGTAGCAAGACGCGAATCTGGACGTTTTTAGATAGAAACAAGTCAAAAATTTGTATCAATTTTGTAAGTAAAAACAACACTTATTTCAAATTACCTTTAGAAATGGATACCAATGTGGGTGATTCTGGAATAATATATTCCGAATGAAATTGCTCTAATTTTGGAGGTTTTAATGGGCTAGTCTCACCCTGTGGTTTTTCGGTTTCCATATCGCCGTTGGTATCGTTGTGGAACATGTCTTTACTGAACTCTGTCACCAATCCACTGCTCGTTGTTGCGTTGTTACTTGACCTCTCAGAATACGCGGCTTGCATCGAATTGGAGTCTGAAACTCTACTGTCCGCTGAAAGACGGCTATTCTCATCTAGCTCCATCACATTTATGTTTGCTTCTTCATCGTCATCTTCGCTATCGCTAACTGCCTCGCCGAATATATCGTGTTCAGCTGAAATATTATACAAGTCATAAGGTAGAGGCATCTAATTTCTTTTTTTATAAATTAGAAATAAATATGTTAAATTTTTGTTTGATTAGCTCCAATATTGAAGCATATCACTTAAAAAAGTTATAACTTCATATTTCAAATTTTTACAATGTATATACAAAGTATATATAAAGTTAATTGCACTTACAAATTGTTTATTATATAAAAGATGAAATTTGTCTATGATATATCTTTCTTATATATGTATACATATAATGGATGAATTTTAACTGTTTAAATAAACATTATCTTAATTAATTAATTGTAAGTTAATACTTACCGACATCCAAACTTTGAGACATATTTCCATTTATTTCTCGTTTAGTCTTAACGGTACCAGATGATGACACCTTACTGGGTTTTGATGTATCCTCATCCTCGCATATCACTTCCCATTTAACATTGACAGCGTCATTGTCCACTCGCAACAGACGTTTAACTTCCTTCTCAATCTCTGGTGCCTCTACATATTTCTTCTTCAAAGTTTTTCTAAATCTCCTACGTCTCACATTTTTAGTAGATGGAGTTATTCCATGAGGCCAAAGAAATTTTTTATCGACCTTATTCGGATCCTTTTTTTTCTGCTTAACAGGAGACTCCTCATCTGTAGCAGTGTGATCTTCCTCTTCTTTACATATTACCACCTGAGGAAACATTACAAGAAAATAATATAATATGAACTTGTTGTTTCCTATATTATTTACAATATTCTTTCTGTTTTACCTGACATATATCGGCAGTTTTATAAAAACTTTTGTTATCGATGGTTTTTAAGGATTCCACTATCGTCGGCAAGTCTACAACCTAAACGAAAGTTTATAAAATGTATAAGTCCACTTTCGTGAGTGATTTTTCCATAGTAATTTCGGATGACTAGCATGAGAGCGAAAATTTACCTTAGCATGGAGTAACCAGTGATCAAGCCTAACCTCACCATAACGCATATCGTTTTCCAATTTTATAGTCAATCTGTCTTTTAAAGGCAAACTATTACGTAATGCCTCCCTCAGTACTCTAGCAGGTTCCTTGAAAAAGAAAAATTTATTCAATATATAAAATCCCTGATTAATTTGTGTACATGATGATCTCGGGCTAGGTTAAGTTCAAATTGAATGAGATAGCAATTGAGAAACATACCGGCGGTAACCGCATAACAAATTGACTCTCCAATTCCACTTGCGGCTCATTACGATTTTTGTCAGTATTCGGATGACGATTCATTTTCTTTGAGTTTTACGCGATGGAGTAATTTAAATAACAGCAAACGAGAACAAAACCGAGATAAGGTATGTGAAAACAGAGAGAAGCCTGAGAGCGGCCATGCGGGATTTAGCTGCAACTTTATTTTGAAGCGCCTCTATGTCCACAAAACGTGGACATTGAACTATGTAGCCAATGTCCACGATCGTGTCGGTAATGTCCATGATTTTTTGGTTCGAATCTTCCCTAAGTCCATTATTATCGATCCGTTAGACAAATAAAGACAGACAATCAATCGATTGTCGTTTGCTCACCCTTAATTTAAAAGATACAAGAAAATTAAGTTTTGGTATCGAATTAAAAAAAAGATTTTTTTCTTCATGCATTCGTTTGCTCATCGTTAGTTTGCTCATAAATCTTTTGAACTAAGGGTGAGCAAACGAAAATTCCAACTGAGAATTCGTGAATAAACGATCAGCAAACAAATGCATGAAGAAAAGAATCAATTTTTTAATACTGGGAGGCCAGCTTCATACGGGTGAAGAGCGAACAGTCACCGTTCATCTCACCATGGCTCGTGTAGATAGATATAGCTCTAGCTCTACTGGTCATTTCTTTTTGAAACGTATTCGTAATAAATATTAAATAATATGAAACGTTGTTCCTAAGATTTCAAAAACTCAAAATATTAAATTAGAAATATAAGTCAGAAAATTTTTTTATTTTAAAATAATAAATAATATTAAATAACTGCTCAATCTTTTTTTTTATTTAAATAATTCAAACACACACACACACACACACACAGAGAGAGAGAGAGAGAGAGAGGGAGGGAGGAAAAGAGAGAATTTAAAATACATATTTTAAATAAAATCGTTTTAAATACCGACCAACCGCTGACTGACACATTTAAAATAGAAATTATAAAATAAGTTTTGGAAACTTACAATAATAAAGTTTAAATAATCCTTTAATCTCTTTTAATAAGAATATGTATTTTTTAAATAACTTTGTCTTTTTAAATAGGATCGAACCCTGTATATTAGTATGAAATAGTTTGACGTTATATTACTTGAAATAAACTAAAATTCAATTAGTATTTTGTCGCGGAATTAATATAAAATAATTTCTTACATTGATTTTTTTCAAAACCATCAGCAATTTAGTGGCATAAGTCATTTGATGTGATATCGTAATTATATCGTACGTGGTACTGCATATCGAAGAATATATTCTACACTTTTTACTTTATAATACATACTTTATAATTTTTAATATTTTGTATTAACTAATATGCTGACAAAAGACAAGAGGTAAAAGTGATTTTTACTAGCATAGTTTTTTTTTTACATAATTATTCACGTTTTTCCTAACATTCTATTTTAATATTTATAAATCTCTCTCTCTCTCTCTCTCTCTCTCTCTCTCTCTCTCTCTCTCTCTCTCTCTCTCTCTCTCTCTCTCTTTTTCTCTGTCTTTCTTTCGCTCTTTTTGATGATTTACTATTAAATAAAAATTAATATGTTATACATTTCTGAAATAAAAATAGATGAAAAATTTTTTTAATTTTAAAAATAATTTGGACTAAATAGAATAATGTGTATAAATAGCATTCGTATACATTTAAATATATATATATAATTAAAATATAATTTACTTTTTGATTTCGGATAAAGAATGCGGAATAAGACATATATATTGGCAATATTAAACAATTAAAAAGTAACAAAAGGCACAATGCGTCAATTTATTTTGTTAAAAATATTGCGTACATTATACGAATTTGGTGTAATAAAACGTTATGTTACAAACTAATAATCACATATTGTAACACAATTTAAAATATCTAAAAATGAAGTATTCAAGAACCGTGCGTAACAAATGTAAGAAATAAAGCAAAAATCGTATAATAAATTGTAATTATCAGAGAACGGTAAAAATGTGACGACTAGATTATTTTAATTATTTTGTAATACGCGAGCGCGTTAATTGATATTTCGACGCGTTAATATTAGTCGGTTCTTTTTCTTTAATTAATGGCTCTCGCCTCCAACAGTGATAATAGGAGGTCGATGCGGCAATATTAGACGGTTAGTGAAAGCGGCCTTGGGGATTGTTTTGATGTGGAAGATACACAGTCCCCGCTCACCGTTAGACCGAGCACTCCGAGCAGTCATTCCATTACCGCGGCTCGGTGCAGTAAGCAGATAGCTGTATGTGCACCGCTCTATTTAATATTTCTTTCTAAAACATATTTTTGTAATAACACTATTAAAGATCATACTAAACGTTGTATTTTACGTTCCAAAAACGTACTTAAAATATTAAATAAGAAATAAATTAGAAAAAGTTTTTTTAAATAAGAAATATTAAATAACTGCTTAATTAATTTTGTTTTTTATATAATTTAAATACATTTTAAATACATATATATATATTTAAAATATATATTTTAAATAACATTATTTTAAATACTACCGACTGCTGACTGATACGACGTATTTAAAATATAAAACATAAAATAAGTTTTATAAATTTATATAAAGTAATAAAGATTAATCTTTTAATCTTTTTTTTTTTACTAAAAACATCTATTTTAAATAACTTAATTTTTTAAAAATAAAAAGTAATAAAGAACGTTTAATTCTTTAAAGAATTAAATTTAAAGAATTAAACGTTCTTTATTACATAACTGGCTCTTAGCCCTTCAATTATTCTATGTTATTTTATTTTTTAAATAGGACATAATTGTATATTAGTATAATAA